CGGCGGCCCGGGCTTGCCCCCGCCGCCGCCCGGGGGTCTCAGCGTGAAGGGGCCGGAGCGGAGCGGCCGCGCCATGAACTACCAGCAGCAGCTGGCGAACTCGGCAGCCATCCGGGCCGAGATCCAGCGCTTCGAGTCGGTGCACCCCAACATCTACTCCATCTACGAGCTGCTGGAGCGTGTGGAGGAGCCCGTGCTGCAGAACCAGATCCGCGAGCATGTCATCGCCATCGAAGGTGAGACGGCGGCCCCGGCACGGTGGCGAGAGGGAGCGAGCGGCGGAGGGTGTCCCAAAACCTCCCCCAGCCCATAGCCCTGTGCTCCCCCCAAAAAACTCTCCCAGCTTGTGCTCCCCTCAAAGCCTCCCTAGCCCATGGCCCTGAGCCCCGCAAACCTCCCCCAGCCCACGGCTCTGCTCCCCCGTACCAAAGGTCCGCCAGTCTTGTTCTCCGTCTCAAGCCTGCCCAAGCGCATGGCCGTGTTCATCCCTTCCCAAACCTCCCCCAGACCACGGCTCTGTTCTTTACCCCTCCTTCCGTGGTTCCCTTGCTTCCCCCCCACCCCCGTAAATAGCCCTGTCTCTGCCGCCCCGCCTCCTTCATGGCCCTACTCTTCCTCATCTCCCCCAGCCCATGGTCCTGCTCCCCGCTGCCCATTTCCCTCCTTCTCCCCCAGCCTCTTGCAGTGCACCCCCCGTGCCCTCCAGCCCATGGCCCGCGGGTCCTTGGGAGCAGCCGCCTCCCCGCTCCGGGCTGCCTGCCCTTCCTCCACCCCTCGTGGCTGGCGTTTTCAGGGAGCCGGAGGTGTTCCGGCTTGGTCCCCATGCCCCGGGTGGCCCTTCAGTTGGGATTTGTGGGGTTTAGAAGTTCTTTTGCTACTCGTCCGCTGCTGCTGTGCGGGAGAGCAGCGGGCTCCTTCGGACTGGGGTACGGTGGGAAGGATGATGCTCGTTTTGCCTGCAGAAGGGTTCGGGAAAAGGAAATTTTCTTCGGCGCTCCCTGCAGCATGTGGTGGAGACAGTGTGGGCTGTGGTTTGGTGGTGTGAGGTGGGTAAACAAGATGTGCAGCTGGGTTATGGAGCGGTATCGGTCTGTACCGTAGTGTAGAAACAGGTCGGGAGGCAAGATGGAGATAACAGCCCTCTAAGCTTAGATTTATGTGCGTCTGTCCCCGCAGGAGCACTACAGAGGCTTCAGCTGCTTAGGATGCACAAAATAGGGAAGGAAAGCACCAGCGTAGGGAAGTCTGCAGATATTTTTCCTTAACTGTTGGTGGAGTTGAACAGAGCGAAGAGTATTTGCTAGGAATATGTATTTTGTGGAGAAATTTGCAACCTGTTTTGCATGATAACTTGCTGAGCTTCACGTCGTGTGCTTTTTCTACTGGAGTATCCTGTCGCTATTTTGGATGGGATTCAGGGTAGCAGAGTGTGAGGTAGAGCTGCTGAAACAGAGCTGCCTAAAACCATTTTGTGATGGTGGCCTAGCTGGTCTTTAAATGATGTGTAATCAAAAAGTCTGGATGGAAAAGCTGCTACTGAGATTGTTGCCTGAAAGATTTATTTGTGTGCTTCTTGAGGAGTGGAGCTTGAATAGACAGACGTCATGGTTCTTGCAGTTAACATTTTGGGTTTAGTGTGTTGTGGCAGGGAGGCTGGCAGTGCTTGTCACTTATTACAGAGCAGTCCCTAACTCAGTATCCATGTCTGACCAAGTGTGTGGTAGAGATTTGTGTATATTCTGTTTTATTAGTCACTACTGAGGTTATGCTCTTTGGCTGTCCCCTCCTGGGGGTACTTTGTCTTTTCTTTCCTCTGATGAGGAGATTAAAATTTGTGAATATATCTGGTGGGAAGACTCTGGCACAAGCACTGTCCCTTTCTCTGTGTTGCTGCTGTTTGGATTTCTGTGTGATAGACGATGCCTTCAGCAGAGCATTTTATCAAGTGGTAATTAATGCTTGTTTATGTGGTATAACTGTGTTTCTGAATAAGATACTTAGGTGCTAGTGATGTGCCAGGCTCGTGTGGAAGTGGGAGGAGGATGTGAAGCACTGGATGTAGTTATCTCCTTAGCACGTGACTTGTGTTAGTCTTTTCATGTATTAATGATTTCTGTTACCTAACTGTGGCTCAGCTCATTTGTCAATCACAAAGACTTGAAAACCAAAATAGCAGTCTAAAAACATGTTTCAAGAGCTGAGAGGATGAGTAAAACCTTCACAGATAATTTGCTAACTTTTATTGGACACTGAGTCATGAGAACAGTAGCTGTGATTGATGGGAACGATTTATCTAGAAAAGGAGTGTATTGTATGTCTTCGACTACTTCTTAAATATTTAAAAATGGAATAGTTAAAGAGCTTGTGGTAAAGCAACAACTCCTCACTCCTTTAGATTACAGCTCCACCAGGCTGTATTTTTGGTAAACCTCCTTTAGCTAACTTTTTCTTTCTGACAGCAGCTTTTAAATCCTCGTGGTAGTGCCATGTGTTGCATGTAAGAAAAACAGACATTTGGGTTGTGGTGATTGCCTTCCAATTTTGCTGGGGAGAGTTTAGTGTTGTACTGATACTCCCCGAATCACAAAGTCTTTTAACCTCAGGGTGCTTGAGGTTCACTGACAGGAATTGTGGTGTGGTTGGCTGCTGTGAGAAAATACCAAATGACTTCCTGGAAGAGTTCCTTCCACTGCAAGGAGAGCTGTACCCTGTAAAGAGAAGATTATAGACTTGTTAGTTCAGGCTGCTTTAAACATAAGCTCCAACCAACGTGTGCTCCTTGAACAGCTTACTTAATACTCTCCTGCTCAAGAGAGGTTGGACAGCTCTGGAGAAGAACATGCTTTGAATCTTAAGCAATTTGGGACTTTCAGTGGAGTTGCTAATACTGATTCTGAGAATTTTCTTTTCTACGTAGAGTGGCACTGCCTTTCCAGCCCTGGATTTTATTGGCAATGTAAAGCTTCTTTCTTTCTACATTTGGAGTTCTTACATTTGGTCTTCATAGGAGTGTCTAGGCATACTTGCTGGACAAAAGACTTGAAATAACCTGAAATTCAAACTCCCCTTGCAGCAGGGTTGTTTATATTTGAGTACAAGACTGCTGTCTAATATGAAGAGAGCAAGTGGTAAACTGGGTCCTAAATTCATTTGTCCATATTTTTGCACAGGGATTTCTTGCCTTGTGTTATTCTGAGTTACATGTGATACTGGATAAAACAGTTCTGGGTGATAGTGCTTCATTAGTTTTTCCTCAGTGGATAAAGGTGCTAACATAATGCCTGTTTAATAGCAGTTTAATTAATATTATTAGCCTTAGATTTTACCATAGTAAAATCTGCCTCCCACGTTCACACTGTCACTGCTTGATCAACATTAAACATTTCTTATATGAAGTATATTGTGTGCTTAGAAATGGGGAGAGAAAATATGAATTCCTTTCAGTGGTCTTTAGATTACTGAAAATACCTCGAGGTTCCATGGTGTGGTGATCTGCAAGGGTAGGTAATAGCTGAATGTGTCAGTTCCAGTTTCTCACAATGCAGATTGAGACTAGCATTATATTTTTATAAACTTTAGCCATATGGAAAACCAAGGAAAGATGGTGAAAACATTAATTTGTAATCCTTCATGAAAAGACTTTAAAACACTTTAACCAAGATGATGTACACATTATTAATAGTCTATAAAGATACTAATATACTTAGTACTAATATGCTGGTGCAGCAGGTGTTGAGCATCTCAAGTAGTTTTCATTTATTCATTTAAAGGGAAATAATTACTTTAATTGGTAAGAATGCCATACCAGATGTTATGTAGTTATGAATTGCTGTGTTCCAGAGCACTTTGTGATCTTTATTCTAGTTTTCCTATTAAAAAGAAATTTTAAAAAAGCATTTTGTAAATGCTAATTTTAATTTTGAAGTGATGATTATTAGGTGATTATCAAGAAATAATCTAAGTCTTAGGGAAAATATGAGATTGCACTGCCTTGAGAAAGTTATTTCTAAATGTACAAAGATACACTGGAAATGCATGAGTGGGAGAAAATGGGAGAAGATACAAACCTTGTTTTATTTTTTTTTTCCTTCTGGTCATTTTTAAAAGTACTGTTTCCTGAAAATAAAGCAATTTTGGGTAGAGTAAAAACTCCTGAAGTACAGGAACCTTAGAGGTGTCTAATTGTTGTAGCTCTCCAACTTTGCAGCCTCTTGAATGCTGGTATTGCCTATGTTGAGAACAATGTTACAGGAGGAGTTATACTTAGTCTTGGAGTTGAGGCAGCAATAGTGTCTTAACACTTTTGTTGCTGTTGAAGGCTGAGATAAATTACTTGAAAAATGCATGTGCTGCAAAACCATTGTTTCCTCTAGGGAAATACAAGACTACAACTGTTCAGGCCAGTTTAGACAGGGTTTGGAGCAACCTGGGAGAGTGGAAGGTGTCCCTGCCCATGGCAGGGGGTGGAATTGGATGGGCTTTAAGGTCCTTTCCTACCCAAACCATTCTGGGATTCTCTAATACTTTTTACATTATTTCAATACATCAAAAGAATGATGGCATAGTTCAGATATTTAGGCATCATTGACCAGAGCTGAAGAAACCCCCAGATAACACATAAGACAATTGCATCTTGAAACCATAATTATAATTGGCCTCTTCGAGCTTTTGTTATGTTTGCATGGTGGAACTGTGGCTCAAAGGATGTAATTTGACAGGATCAGTCTGATTCTCCAAATAGCCATCTTGCTTCAGATTTCTGGGTGAGAACAACAGAGCATGGGAATGTGCTGTTTTTGTTGGTTTGCTGGGGGATTAAATCGGGGTGATTCAGGCATGGGGAATCTGCCCACATAGCTGGTGAGTAAGTGTATCCAGGTGAATTCTGAGCTTGCATAAACACAGTAAGTGTTTGGTGACTCGGGTGAGGATTGTTTCCTGTAACAGCCAGGGCAACATGTTGGGGACAAGTCTCTTAATGCCCTTTTCTGCTGATTGTGCACGTGCACCTCTGTGCCCTGAGCTCTTAACCTGGCTCAAAGGTAACTCTCTGAGGATGCTGAGGCCCTGGCACAGGGTGCCCAGAGAAGTTGTGGCTGCTCCTGGATCCCTGGAAATGTCCAAGGCCAGGCTGGCTTGGAGCAACCTGGAATAGCAAGAGGTGTCCCTGCCCATGGAAGAGGTGAAATTGGATGATCTTGAAGGTCCCTTCCAAACCAAACCATTCTGCGATCCA